ATCAACAAATGAAGCAAAGCAAAAAAATTAAAAGTTTATGGTAGGAATAAAATTACAGAGCTGCCATTTAAAAAGGCTATTTTGTTTCACAGTGACATATTTAATTATAAATGAAATAAAAAATATAAAAATAATATGCACAGGATGGTGATATGTACAGTAAAAATTATTGAGAGGCTAAGCTTGAAAGAACTTAACGTCATTTCATTCTCAGTAAAACTCTTCTGAATCTTGGTAAATGTGAATCAAAGTGATGGAAACAGTTACGCCTCCCAGCAACAGGTTATAAAACACAGGGCAGCGTTCTGCAAACACCCTAGTGAACAGGGAGGTGAAGAAATACACCCCCAGCGTTATTAAAACAGTGGGTCTGACCTGCCTCCTTCATCTTTTTAAAATTGGAAATATATTTCCTTGCAAATTGCACATAAACAGTAACTTCTGAGCATATGTGTGCAAGATTACAGATACTCATCAATCAAACTCACTCCTAACAACAGCTGAAACTGAAACTTGACAGATCATGACGAAAAGTCACATTTATATCAACCCCAAGCCTACTGGAGGCAGACAGTCCCCTCCGGTCATCAGCCACACTGCATGGCCTCCTGTCTCCATAAATTAGTGTTATGGGGCTTTCTGAGCTAGTTAAAGAAACTGAGCGGCCACATGAAGACATTTATGCCAGGATCTTATCATTATTTAGCTTGGGGCAAATATGAGTGTAAACAGTAGGGGCCACTCATTTCTCAAATTTTTGGAGGTTGTGACTGCCCCACCTAACTGCAATTCCTCTAATTGCATTTTGCTCCCAGATATTTTTTTATGAATCCATTCCAAATCCAAGACAGAGAAAATAACAAGAATACAACACAACACTGAGGATGATTTTCCTTTGCTGGTGGTAAGGTGAGCTCTCAGTTGATGGCTCTCTTCACTGTTCTCCTGTCTGTTTCACTGTTCTTGTCAACTGGGTATGGGGACACACTTTAGTTAAAAACCTCTCACTAACTCTTTGCTCCTCGTGTGGAGACAAGCATTTTTATTCAACTGACAAATCATTATTATGGGTCACGTATTGCATCACTTATTGTTCACAAGCCCCTAAAAGATAGGGTTGGTGTAGACTTTGCGTGACTGACGTGGAAAGTTGCCTGACAAGAGTCCTCCAGCTCTGTGCCGTGGGGATGGGCCACGGCTGAGTCTGAACCAGAAGCACTTAATTCCTTCACTGGGGCCCCCAGACTGTCAACTGCCATTGCCTCCGATCTCTGTTTGGAATAATTAGAGGGGAAAGGGGAGAGGGTAATGATGGGGGCCATGTGGTCCAGAGTGGTCACACCTTCCCTTGTTTGGGAAAGAAGCCAGGAATATAAACTTGAAAAATGTGATCTCCTGTTAGCATCAGAGTAGAATTAACAGAGGACTGGTATATGCTCACAGTAAATACACATTTTATAAAAAGATAGAAAAAACTGCAAATCTCTATTTACTCTTTTAACATCTACTGTTAGGCATAATTACACAGGTAACTAGACTGTCATTAAGATTAGTTTGATTCTAAAGTTTGAGGCTATTAAGCCATCTGACAGTTATTTCTGGCATCTTCAGTTCATTTTAGTAGGGAATAAATAATAAATAGTAATAAATCTTAAACAATGCTGCTTAATTCCAAAAAAGAAATGGAGAAAGTCTCTTGTTCTGGCTTAAACTGGAAGTTTATCAGACACTCCCATTTCTAGAAGGGAATCAAATGAACACTATCAAGTGTAAAGTGTTTGGGATTAGCAGAGGTATAGCTACAAGAAAAATAAATAGATCTACCAAATTATTCATAGGTAATAAATACTTTACTACCTTTACTACCTTCACAATATGTTATTGTGTTACTTATTCTAGACTTTCTTATTTAGAATTCTCTTTTTTTTAACATCACAAAACTATGAACAGTAACTTTATTTTAAGTAATAAGGGCAACAAAATTAATGTGGCATCCATTTATAATATAAGTATATGGATATATAAGAGGGCAGTGAATAAAAGAATTTTAGGAACCTTTAAAAAGATATTTATTAAAAAGCAGCAACATTAAATCAAGATTTTCTGAGTTTTAAATTAACATGCAAGTTTTAGTGTTTCTATATTTCTTGTTTAAATATCTCTGCAGAAAATAATACTATAATTGTTGAAAAACACTGTAATGAATAGGTATGTATTTGGTAGGATGAGAAACAAGTTAAAGAATAGCAAAAATGTATTTTAAAGTTAAGTTATACTGAGTGAATCACTACTGTGAACGTTCAGAACATGGAAAGCAAAACACAGCAAGTCCAACTTAGAACAGACTCTGGGGAGGCAGCTGCACCCCGGAGGTAACAACTGTGCCGGAACTCGGTGGTTGTTCCTCAGCTTCATGGGGACCCCAGCTCTCCTTTCCTACCTGTGCTCACCATGGATGAACAACTTCAAGATGAAGGGAGCAGAACAGCACTGCTCAGTGGCCGGGGCTGCTCCAACCTACCTGATGGCTTCTCTTCATTGCAGTTCACGAGGTTTGGGTTTGCCTGATGCATCAGCAGAAGTTTCACCAGGTTTGTCTGAAACATCAAAGGCAGTTGAAATAGGAAACGCTACACCAGATGCTGATGATTCATCAGTAAGTAACACACAGCTGCTGCCCTTCCCAGCCTGGTGGAAGGGACAGAGTTAGCACTCCCACTCCGTAGCTCCAACTGCTACGCCCCCTCCCTATTCCTTGGGGAAAACTATTTGTGCTATTTATGCATTCAGAATCAAAATTACTGATCAAACAAGGGTTTAATTGCAGAAGATGTGAGGGTAAAACACTGTAACTTTCAGGTTGACTTTAGGGCATTTGATGGGAGGAATCATATGTGATAGCATATTTTGTTTTGTTTCAATGGAGCGATTCATCAAAGTCCAAATTGTTGGTATTGTCCATCCAGGACAGCACCGTAGACGTTAGGAACCTAAAGTCAAATTGGACCTTTAAGAAAACAGTCTTAAGTTATAAGGATGAAGCACCTCTATGAGAGAGCTATGTATTTAAAAACTTAGTACCTCACACGCACAGAGGATATGGAATGTATGCATACCTTTGAAAGGGCAGGAATGAAATAAATTTCAACATACCCAAATTTAAAAATATATCATTAATGGAATCTTTATGTATAGTTTTTCTCAAAACTATCCCTCTCCCTGTTTTTCCTTGTTGGCCGCCATCATGAATTTTGGGTTAACCATGAACACTGTTCTTTACTCACACAAGCTTAGCACACACATACAGAAGTGTCCCTAAACAATGTATTGCTTATTTTGCTTGTGGCAGTTACAGAAATGAAATCCCAGTGCACATATGCTCCCACCCCTTCACCTCAAGGCTCACCACTGCATTTCTGAGAGTCATCAGAATCCATGCATCATATAAGTACATCTCAATGCCCCTGCCTTCTGCTCAGTGAGCACTCAGCCATTTGCAGTCATTTATTTAGTTTTGCAAATAATATTACTGTGAATAGTCTTGTTCATACTTCATGGCACTCACACGCAGGAGTTTCTTCAGCATGTGTGTGCTTCGACTGAAAATGCCGGCATACAGGTTTACACATCCTTAAAGCGACTAGATAGCTCCATCTTTTTTTCAAAGAGGCTGCTCCAATGTACACGCCCTCTTCCTAACAGTTCCTGTTGCTCCACTTATAGTTCATAATTTTATTATCAGACGTTTCCATGTTGTTAGATTGTTGGGTGTTAAAAGAATAAGTCACTGTGGTTTAAAGCTGGGTTGCTTTGAAAATAGAGGTCTGTAGTCACTACAGGAGGTTCTGGCTTTATTTAAGGCATTAAGTAAATATTTTTTAGTCGTGATTTTCTTGGGATTTGCCATTTTTATTTATGTTTTCAGATTTATTGGTATAACAGTGCTGGATGTATACGTCCCTTTATGGTGTTATTCTTCTGCTGTTTTTCCCCTAGCTGGGCTGTCTATGTGGTTATCTTTTCCTTTGCGTGCACAGCACCAGCGATTCTGTGCGCCATCTGTCTCTCTGGACAAATGTTTCCAGAACGGCTCATCTCTGTTAGCCTTACAAGAAGGTGAATGCTGTTGGGGATTGTTGATCCCTCTGTATCTTTGCTTTTAGTTCAATCAGTTTTGTTCCTAATGTTGTACATCCTTATTTCAACATTCCTTGTGTTAATTCTCTTAATCTCTCCAAATCTTGTAAGTTGTAATTTAGCACATTAATTTTCATACTGTCTTCTTTTATAATGTAAACACGTATTATTTGGTTTACAACTTTAAAGGTGGTAAACTTTCATCAAAACACCACTTTTTCCATATCTCACATCGCAGCCTTTTCACTGTGATTCTGTTCTAAATATTTAAATGGTGATTCCAGTTCGAGTTTTGATTCACAGGGAATAGCAAGTTCTGAAATAACATGTTTTTGTAATACAAAACAGCTCATTCTCAGCTGACAAACACTGGTAGACAGCGTTTTCTCCTAGACCAGGAGAGCCAAAATGGTGGAAGTCAAACCACAAATTTGAAGGCCACCCCGCAAGGCTCTTTTGTTGTGGCACTTCCATGCGTGAAGGACCTACACGCCTCTCTTCAGCCCTGCCTTACACTTTGTACCACTGCATTGAGGAATAAGTTCCCAGCACATGAATTTAGGGGGACACATTCAGACCACAGCACCTAGTAAATATTCCATTGCTCACGAAATCTTGCTCTCGGTTGAAATCCCTTTCCACTGCACATGATTACTTTAGTGAGCCACCCCAGATCTTTATTTCATACCCTACCCAACGCCTTGCATATGTGCCCATGTTTCTCTGGGAATCTCTGCGAGGACCTTCCACAACCACCAGTCTCAGGAGCACTCAGCTCGACTCCTCTTCACACATGACCCAGTGATGCACCTGCTAACCCTGGGCATCACTGAGTCTCTCCTCAAATAAACAGTGACCTGGGGAGTGTTCTGCACCAGTCCTGTCCAAGGCACCCTGATGTATGTGTATAAACCACATGGACGCTGCCCCTGCACGCAGGTCTCACAGAGTGCAGGTGATGCCGGCCAGCAAGCAGACAGTTGTGATGAGCTGTGATAAGGCTGGGCTGTGGGATATGCAGGGTGCACAGGAAGGAGCAGCGTCCTGCAAATTCAGGGGTAATTTGGGAGGACAACTGATAAAGTGATCTTGGCTTAGCTCTGCAAGGCCATTCATATTTAATAACTTTGGGGAGAGAAAAGGACAGGGTATACATTGTGGCATATTCTAGAAGTGGAAAGATTTCTTTATATCCTCAAACATGGTAGAGTGAGGCATGAGAAGTAAAACTGGATAATTAGGCAGGGACTCGAGTCAGACACATGGGGCTTCAGAAACTGTGCTAAGGCCTGAGCCTTTTAACAGCAATGGAAATGATGTT